TTTTGAAAGTAAAAGATTAAGATGTCCTTATGGACCAAAATGTTTTTGCCCCTGACATTTGTATATAGTATATACGTGTGTTGACTCATAAAGAAAGACCTCTAAGGAAAAACATTATGTCAAATTAAATTCCCATGTGAGACACATTAAATTCATAATAAATTTACACACATGTTATTTTTAGGTTCTAAAAATATACCCAAAAAAAGGATTTTATAATTTTATGTAATTGATACGGATTTTATCTTTTAATAACTTTTATTATGCTATAAAGCTAATATTATAATTGATAAGATTTATTCACTTAAATATTAATTTTATTTTTTTATATAATTTGTATTTCATCCAACTATAAATGCCGCTCTTATATTTATTTATAGAATTGAAGATCTCATAAAAATATTCTATTGTATTTTCTTTTCATTTCTTTTTTTTTTTTTTTTTTCCAAAAAGACTTATAAAAGGTACATTATTAGTAGCATTCAACGTGAGAACAACCACTCTTATTTGTAAGATATGGTTCTAATCCTACAAAATTAATATTCCGTTAGATAAATGGCCACAAAGATGAGTGCTAAACATCGGTTATAAGGAATTAACGCTAATACTTTTTTACGAAATAAGTTCGTGTCAAATAAAACTTGTAATTGGGTACCTTATTTCAGGTTTTTTTTTTTTTTTTTTTTTTTAAAGAAAAACCAAAAATAATTATTGTAAAATCACCCTACAATAAATAATAACAGTAAAACAACGAGTGACTCCTTTATTGTATTACATTGATACAAATAATGAGAGCTAAAACATAAATACTCATCTTTCATAAAATAATGCTGCTATGATTTTTTGTGATATCGTGAGTTGTTTCTCTTCTTTTAAAAAACTCTCATCTGGTATAAGGGCAATATGCATTACATCTCCAAAGCCAATCCAAATTCTGTCAAGTCTTGTAAATTGTGAAAAAAGACATTACTGCAACAAGAATAGGAATCCATAACATCCCGTCTTTGAAGACAATGACCATAGTTGCCCAAAACATACCACCATTGCTTCTATTGAGAAAAGAAGTAAGATTAATCCCCAAGCCAAATCAAAAGGCACCCGCAAAAGAAAATCTACTTTTTCATAATGGAAAGAGAACGATTATGAGCATTAGTATGGAGAAACAGGACAATAGTAATGCTATAGTATCTAATATTGCAAAAACTATGAAGGAAGCTCTTCGAACAAAATGTGGAGTCCCTGTTTCTTCATTAGTGCTACCTGGTATTGTGCAAGCTGCAGTGAAAACCATGGTGGCAATAAGTATTGTCCCCATGATGTTTAAGTCAAAGAAGGACATGGTGCAAAGGACTGAATCCCACTCAAGGTTGGGCCACACGACTTCGGGCGCGTTTGCTTACTATTTATGATACTATTTGAGCTCCAATTTTTAGAATGTGCATTTGTTTTATTACTAAGGAAACTGTATCCAAAAAATTTGATTCCTGGCATTTTTTGACCGTTTGTTTGTGGGGCTTGCCATCTACAAGTTTTTTTTTAATCTTTTCCTTCTTTCTTCTTCTTCTTTATTTCTTCAATCTGTTTTCTTCCGACCGCTGCGACAACTCTCTTTTCCACCTGCCATCTGCAAGTTTTTTTCTCTTTTCCTTCTTTCTTCTTTATTTCTTTCTTCTTCTTCTTTATTTCTTCAGTCTGTCTTCTTCCAACCACCAACCACCGCTACAACCCTCTCTTCCACCTAGCATCTGCAACCATTTTACTCTTTTCCTTCTTTCTTCTTTAGTTGTTAATGGAGTATAGGTATACAAGCGATTCTAAGGGTTGATAATTAGTAGCTTTGTCATATATATATTAATGTATTGTTTTTAAACAATTGGATGAGCACTTAATATTAATATAGGAAATTTGTTTTTAATTTAGTAGTTATGTTATTACCAATCAAGTGCTTAATATTATTAAAATGCAAATTGATAAGTTTTTAGGTTATAATAATAAATTATTTTAACAAAATGCAGCAAAATATTGTATCAATAAATCATTTATAAAAAAATATACCAAACAAATATTCAACAATTTATTCAACTCAAATAACAAAGTCAAAATACTCTACCAAACATATTTTGTTCAAATCCTATTTTCATAATAATAACCCAACTCCACTCAACAATACTATTTCAAAAATCCTACCCAAAATAACAAAACAAACACACCCTTCATTTTATCATTGTGCCATAGTTGTGTTTTTATTTTCTGTTACAAAGTTTATGCTTCTTCATCATATATTTATTTCATGTCTTGGATTGTAAAAGATATGGAAAAATCTGATACCATACATTTCATTTTGTAGAAATTCAGTTGCATTTGTTTATTTGCAAATGATTTTATATTTATTTGTGAGAAACAAAAAAGAGTGCTTATAAATGTTTTAGTTAGAAGAGTTTTCTGACGCTTTAATTCATAAACAAATTTCATAGTTCTCCCACATGACACTTCTCGGTCACCTAAGTCTCATGGGTGCAGCCAAAGCCTATGAGATAAGGAAAGTCGGGACATGTGACAAGCTGTTCGCAAGTGTATGAAATCGTGCAAGCAATAAAGCTCGAGTGAACGAGTGTCGAATCCCAAGAGAACTATCTACCAAGTACCAAACTAGTCTATCTTATTGCTATTTGATGAAACAGAACTTTATGAATGACTTTAATGAAAAAGAAAACAAATTAAAATCTAAACGAAATCATAATTTTAGAATAACTTTGGTATAAAAATCAATATGGCTAAAACCTAGGGCACAGATTTCACACCAATTTAATCATATGTATTGACGATCATTCCTAACCTAATTAAGCTTATTTTAAAGGCCAAACTCTCTAATATTCCCCTAATTTTCTCTCAAATAATTAGTGAATGAACCCTTAAACAACAACCCAAAATATCTCTAAATTGGATTTAGAAGCTAAGAGATCATTAAGTTCTATGGAATTTACCAGAGCCTCATAGATCACGGTAACCTATCTCTAGCGTTCGCTTAATCTATGGTTTTATTACCTTAGATAAATCAGGTTTCATCTCTTGATCTCAACCCAACCCATGATATCATTCAACCCTCGGATCCTTAAGAATTGAAAGCATTACACACAATAATAAAACTTAGAATCAATGCTTAATAAGAAATCAATAAAGAAAATGTCAACACATATTCATAAATTAGGCTACATCTTTAGCCCTAGAAAAGAGAATTAGTTCATAGTTACAATAATAAAAACCATCATTATATTCAACAACATGAGTTCAAGAAAGAAAAATATAAACACTCCTCTAATTGGTGAACGAGAGCTTCAAGAATCCTGATCTCCAAACTAGTAGCCGTCCTTTCCTTTCTCTCAAAAAAAAAAAAAAAAAAACTCCCTTAAACTTCTTAAAGACCCTTATTTATAGTCCTAGGGTTTTGATCTTACTTAGGAAAAGAGTAAATGCCTTAGCCCATTCAGATTCGGATTAGGATAATGCAATAACTTAACAAGGCCATGACCCATCACTGCGGCGGTAAGAACAGTCGCTGCGACGATCATTCTTTCTGTCTAAGTCATCTGTGATTCTTCAGAATTTGGTAAAGTCATCACACAAACTTTGTAGCTCTCTAAATAAGCTTTCCAACGCCACTAGAATCGTTGAATTTTGATTTCTACAGCTTAAGTTATGATAGAAACATCGAAGCACGCTCATCTTGAAGGATTTCCAGATTTTACTTTATATCTTCGACGTGTCACAACTTTCTTGTTTAAACTCCGATTCTTGTACCGTTTGTTCCTACGCATCATGAATTCCATCGACATCATTCTTTTCCCTTCAAATATCTATTTGAGCCTGAAAACACTCAAAATACACTCGTGATCCCACAAAAGGTATTTATGAAAGAATTAATTCAAATTCCACATTTTAAACATATTTTTCCATAAATACTCCAATTAAATCACTAACAAAAATAAACTTTCAAGCTCTTATCAATGTGTCGTGTCAAAAATAGTATATTTGACCAAATAATATTTACTTCAATTATCAAGTTATAAGCATATCTATAGTAAATTAGTAATTATATATGATAAATTGATGAACATTAGTACATTATTTAATTAAATGATTAGATATTTAATTAACTTATGGGAAATTTCAAAAACTTCACTTTTACTCTAGTAATTATAATAATATATAATATTTGTATTTAGGGGTGTATTTGTAATTTTTTTAAGGTTTATTTGTCATTTTTTAAATTAATAGGGGTAATTAAAATTTTATAGGGTACCCGGGTAAGGAATCGAAACCTACAATTCTGGTTCTGGGAACCTAAGAACCGGGTTCCGGTTCCAAATCTTTGGAGCTAGTCGGTTTTGATTCTGATTCCTTCAAAAAGTGCAGGATACCCGGAACTGCTCACCCCTAAAATCAAATAAATCGTTTTGTCCCATCGTTGATTCATTAAGATTACATAAACATCCGACGTGATTCTAACACTATCAATCACATACCACTCTTTGTTGCGATTTCTTGCATCAACACATGTTATTTTTAGGTTCTATAAATATTTAACAAAACGATTTTATAATTTTATTTATATTGTTAAATTCTTGAATAAAATTAATGAAATGCTTTATCCTTAAAAATGTGATTGTGAATTTTGAAATAATACTTCAATTTAACACTTATTGTTGTTTAATTATGTTGCAAAGAATTCTTTTGTATCCCAAAGTTCTTGGAATTATCATTTGGAAACTTGTATCTCGTTATTGAATTTCAAATTTATATCCTTGGCATGCATCTTGAGAAGGGGTTTGATGTTCAATAGTACACATTATTAGTTAAAGAAGATATCAAGTCTAAACTAAATGTGAAAAAAAAAGAAAAGTAGGATTTGTTTATTGTAAACTCATGCTAAAATAAATCATTAGCAGTAAAATAATGATTGACTTGTTTATTATATTACATTGATATAAAATTATAAATACTCACATTGTACATATTGGCGCTATGATTTTTTCTAATACTGTGAGTTGTTTCTCTTCTTTTAAAAAACTCTCACCTGGTATAACGGCAATATGCATTACATCTCCAAAGCGAGCCCAAGTTCTGTCACAGAACTTGTAGATTGTGAAAAAAGACATTACCGCAACAAGAATAGGAATCCATAACATCCCATCTTTGAAGACAATGAACATAGTTGCACAAAACGCTACCACCATTGCTTCTACTGAGAAAAGAAGTAAGGTTAACCCCCAAGCCAAATCAAAAGGTATCCGCCAAAGGAAATCTACTTCTTCACATCGGGAAGAGATAACGGTTATGAGCATTAGTATGGAGAAACAGGACAATAGTAATGCTATAGTATCTGATATTGCAAAAACTATGAAGGAAGCTCTTCGAACAAAATGTGGAGTCCCTGTTTCTTCATTAGTGCTACCTGGTATTGTGAAAGCTGCAGCGAAAACCACGGTGGCAATAAGTATTGCCCCCATGATGTTTGCATTTGCAATGTCCTTAGTCCATTTCTCAGCTTCCTTTCTTAACTCTCTATGTTGTTCAGTGAATATAGCTTTAGCAGTTTTCCCTTTGTTATTCTCAGCTTCAGCAGCCACTGGATGCAAAATTCTTTTCACTCTCTACAATATTATGATTTATCAATCAATCAAGGGAAAAAAATATTATTTTTTCAAAAGAAAGAGGGGAGTTAATTAATATTCACCTCGAACCATCGCATCTCGATAGACATTTTGAAATGTGTTGCAGTTGATTCAGCACCGGGTGTGTCTTGTTTAGGCAACTCTGCAGCCAAATGCAAGATGTTGTTCCCTTTCTTATCTATTTTCTTAACTACCAAATTTTTCAACGGACCTATGGTGTAAATAATTTTGAAAATGTTATAATGACGATACATAACAGCATAATGAAATATGGTGTAATTATTTTCGTCAACTTCAAACATCAGATCAGGATATTCATGGAAAATTATGTCTAGAAACCTAAGGTTTCCTTGTTTTGCAGCCTCGAATATTAGCGACCAAGGTTTTCTAATAATTTTCAAAATCTGGGAGTCATCCAAATGCATAACTTCTTTCCAAAGGCATTCGACTAGTTCAAAAGCTGAATCGGGAATCTCTTCACCTCTAACTGAAACAACAAAAGTTTAGTTAAGCTAACATTAGTTCTAAACAGAAAATTTGAGAATGTTAGTATCCCACATCGAGATCTTACACCCACCAAGTGTGATGCTTAAGCCTTGGAGCCCAAAAGACCAGTCAGATAAGTAGGAATGCCCCTAGGCTTAAGTACTATACTTAGTAGGTGTGAAATCTCAATAGAGAATGAGGTAATTAATTATCACATAATTCTAAATTGATAAAAGAATAGAAGATTATGACAAAATTCTAATAAAAGGTTACCCAAAAGGTAAACAAAATTTAATTAGATTAATACTATAAATCCCTAATAAAATCCCAAAATTTCAACTCAAATTTATTTTGTGTAACGTTGATATATAATTTATTACCTTAATTTTTTATTTACATATCAAGAATTATTTGTTTTATTAACTTTTTAACTAGAATTTGACATTAGATTTTAAGTCTAAATTTTAAGTTGCAAATAAGAATTTTCATTTTCAGTGATTATAAAGGGTTAATTATTCTAGTAGTGAACCCAAAANCTCTCTAAATTCAAAAAAAAAATTCTGCTCAATTTTATATTCCTTAAATTGCTACCCCCAACCAAAAAGTCAACATTGTCCTCAATGTTAAGAGTAGAAACAAGAGAAAGAGAACGTTACCACATTCCTCAATGTAAGAAGGCTGTCCAGTTCGTATACGCCAAATTCGTTCTAAAAAAAAAAAAAAAAACACTAAACAGACCTTGTCGGCCATCACTGTTATGCAGAAAAAAATAATGGATATAAAGAGCTTTATCAATAAAGATGTAATAGGAGTTCACAAAGACTTAAGGAACAAACAGTAACAAAAAAAAAAAAAACAAGTACATCAAAACAAAACAACAAAACAAACTACAGTGACAATATTAAATAAAAACACAACTGAACTTTCAATCTACTCCTCCATACTCTCCTCAGAATCATCATCAGGAGCATCGCCTTGCTCCTCATCCGCTCGGTATACAAAATGAGTCCATTCACACCCTAGTGCTGCTATCCCAGCATGAGCAAGTTGCAATCTTTGCATCTCATGTTGCACCCTCATTTGCCCACTCATCCACGTCATCCAGGCTTCTTGACAATTCTGTTGCTTTTTCAATTTTTAAATGTCTTCATTCAACTTCAACAATTGATCTCTTTGGGATAGTTTCGTCGATGAAGAGGCTTTGGTCCTAGGTACTTCTACTCTGCCCCCACTGGTGAGATTTAGCATAAACTGCATCGTAAAACACACTCCTTGCAAGATTAAAACTTCTTCAGCATTCAAAGGCACTTGAGCTTGCTTACACAATTCAGTAATCATGTGAGGAAAATAGAATAAGGAGAAAGGACGGCTACTATTTTGGAGATCGGAATTCTTACAGTTCTCTAAGGGAAGTTTCTTCCCAAAGACTTCGAATTTGTGGATTTATGAGAATTTTTTATTTTTTTTTATTTTTGTGTTATGTTTTGAATTTTGATTCTATTCTTGAATTAATTTATATGTCTATAATAGGAATGTGATTGCAATAACATGTAACAAATGGAGGACATTAATTTTTGTCTTTAATTACGAATGATTGTAAATGTTAATGACATTTAGTTTGAGACCCTAGCGATTTGTGGATTGGAAGTTATTAAGTTTACCTACTTAGAGACGTTTTATGTGTGAATTTTCCATGAATATTTTTGCGATCTCAACAAACTCTAGAACTCATTTGACAACCACTCGAGGCGAAATCCTAGAGTTCACATCACTTAGGAAATGATATAGGCTATTTTTGGACCGATTTAGTCTTTCAAGCCGACGTTTTTTATTATCATCGCTAGTTAACCCTTTGAGCCTTTTAAACACAATTTAGCCTTGTTTTTTTTTTTTGTTTTTTTTATTTTTTTTATTTTTTTTTTTTTTTATTTGAACTTAATTTTTACCCTACCTTGATTATGAGCTTAAAACACAATCCTACCCATTTTATCCTTAAGAGACTTAACTGTTATTCAAGCTTAGTACAAGTATTGGTGAGGAAGTATAGTTTTGCCACAACCCAGGTTTATGCGAAGAAATTGGTTGGGGGTTGTGGAGTGCTTGTAAGATTAGTGGCGCTGTGTGTGTGTTTTCTACTTTCTTCTTATTATTGTTGTTAAAAAAAAAAAAAAATTCTCCTTCTCTTGATTTCCCATATTAGGATTGACAATTCCTGTGTTAGCCATTGATTTTTCATATTCAGCTTGCCTCCTTTCTTTTCTCAACTGTTTAGCGGTTCTCTTGATCTCAAAATCTAGTGGATTAAGATCACCACCACCTCTTAAACGTAAACTCTCTAGATTCTAGCTGAAAACAACAAACAAAAAAAAAACAAAAATATAAATTAATTAGTAAACAAAAATAAAACAAATCAAATTAGCAACTAAATATTTCGTATTGATATTGGTAAAACGAAATAGTTCCTCGGCAACTGCGTCAAAAACCTGACAGGCTATTCGCAAGTATACGAAATCGTACAAGTAATAAAGCTCGAGTAAACGAGTGTTGAATCTCAAGAGAACTACCAACCAAGTACCAAACTAGTCTATTTATTGCTATTTGATGAAACAGAATTTTAAGAATGAATTTAATGAAAAAGAAAACAAACTAAAAACTAAACAGAAACATAATTTTATAAATACTTTTGTATAAAGATCAATATGACTAAACCTAAGGCACAAATTTCATACCAATTTAATCCTATGCATTGACAATTATTGCTAACCTAATTAAGCTTATTTTAAAGGTCAAACTCCCTGATATTCCACTAACTTTCTTTTGAACAATTAGCAAATTAACCCTTAAGCAACAACCCAAAATATCTCTAAGTTGGATTTAGGAGCTAAGAGATCATTAAGTTCTATGGAATTTACCAAAGCCTCATAGATCGCGGTAACCTATCTCTAGCGTTCGCTCAATCTGTGGTTTTATTACCTTAGACTAATTAGGTTTCATCTCCTGATCTCAACCCAACCCATGATATCATTCTGTTAGTAAATGATCCATATACGCAGCGGAAACAAAAAAATATAATACAAGGATCGTTTACATGAGCCAAGATCAAAGGTATAATTTTACAATTTATATTAAAGTAAAATCTGCACAAAAGGTTAATCAAGAGTTTAGAATAACATACGCACGTTTGGAGGCTCCTACAAAATAGTCTTTGTACGTATTTGCTACCGACCCAAGCATAGGATCGAACTTATGAAGTCCACACGAAGACAATCACAAATAACCAAAGAGGGATTTGCTAGATCCTCTTTGGCTTTAAGATTAAAGAAGAATGAAATCAAAATGAATTGATTTTAGGCAAAATGGGTTTCTGCCGTGGGAGAGAAATGGGGCTGCTGTGTATTTGGTTTTACAATGAAAAATGAGCTAATCAATTAATTATTTTATTTTACAAATAAACGTTTTCTTTTATAGTAAAACTTCAATGCCCTATTCCCATATGGAATAGGCTTGGGCTCCAACCTAAACACCCTATGTTACCAAACACTCCCTAATTAGATATTTTATTTATTTCATCATTATCTCAATTAAACTCAATTAATATATATTTAATCTATATATTAACATTTAACAATAATGATGATTTAATTAAATATATGTGAACACATATTTAAACGTAATTTCACTTATTTAATTTTTCTAATTAAATAAAGGCTACGACCTTCAGCAAATTTAATTGCACTGTGAAATTACCAAAATACCCTTTCGCCTTAAAAGACGAAAACGCCCTTCTTTCTTCTTGCATCTTAAATTGTCTTCTATGTGTGTGACCCTTAGGCTCCTCATCATATCGGCAGTGTATAGTATTGCGATTAACACCAATTAATCGTCTCACTAATACACAGACCAAGATTGGCCCCTAGCAAGGCATCATGGCCACCCGATAGATTCGGATTCAGCAAAGTAGCTACCTGTCAACGATATGGTTACCGTGCAATTCGATCCTTTCATCATACGTTATCTCGACGAGACGAAGGCATAGAAATAGTGTCAACCTTCGGTTACTCTCGATATTATTTATTCAGTTTCTGGACCAATGACCCGTATTATAAACTGGATAGAGCAACAACTCAATCCCACTGTGGCCACAGTTTTAGTGTCATTGCCATATACTGAATTGCGCCGTGAGATAACTTTCTCCCGTACCCGGGAGTGATAAATCCTCTGTCAATCCACCATAGTCTTGATACACTCCTTGATGCAGCCAATCACCACCGTATTGACAGCTCTGAAAAGAACTGCGTTAGGCTAGTGTCAAACTACACCAATCGGTGCACAAGGCGCTCCGGTGATCTCAAGTCTAAGGATCACATGCACCACCATTCGTTAGAGGATTTGTTCCATAGACACTGGGGTTACCATCCATATGGAATCCTCTGGTGGGTCAGTCCAGTGAACTTGCTGTGGTGTAATCGCCTACAACAAACACCCATGTGTTGCACCAGGTTGTCACCAAACAACCTTGACAAGTGAGATCAGTCACTGCCTTTCGACAGGGTCGTTCAACACTATGATAGCCTTACCGTATTATCTGTGCCCTTACTTCAGAATAATACTGGGGCTACGGACGTTTCTAGAATGGCCACCTTATGTGCTCATAGGGTTCTCACTATCAAGATTTGAAACACTTGATACCCTCGTCACGGTTCTACCATTCTAAGGACATATATCAATACATATTGCAATAATAATGATTTACGCGATATAGAATAAAATGTCTTTTATTGATTAATGAACATTATTAGAAAGAGTCAATTCTACAATAATTGATTGGCTCTAGGGCATCTACTCTAACGCATTCAACCCTCAGATCCTTAAGAATTGAAAGCATTACACACAATAATAAAACTAAGAATTAATGCTCAATAAGAATTAGCAACAATAAAGTCAACACATATTCATAAATTGGGCTACATCTTTAGCCCTAGAAAAGGGATTTAGTTCATAATTGCAGTAATAAAAAAAAACCATTGTATTCAATAACATGACTTCAAGAAAGAAAAATAGAAAAACTTCTCTAGTTGGCGAATGAGAACTACAAGAATTCCAATCTCCAAAATAGTAGCCGTCCTTTCTCCTTCTCTAATCTCCTAAAAACTAATTAAAGACCCTTATTTATAGTGCTAGGGTTTAGAGGTTACTTAGGAAAGAATTAAATGCCCTAACCCATTCAGATTTGGACTAGGAGAATGCAATAACCCAAACAGGCCCGTGACCCATCGCTGCGGCGATAAGAAACGGCCGTTGCAGCGATCATTCTTTTTGTCCCACGAGTCCATGATATTCAGAATTTGGTAAAGTTGTAAAAATAAACTTTATAGCTCTCTGAATAATCTTTCCAACGCCACAAGAATCGTTTAATTCTGATTTCTACAGCTCAAGTTATGATCGAAACATCGAAGTATGCTCATCTTGAAGGATTTCCAGATTTTACGTTGTATCTTCGACGCGTCACAACTTTCTCGTTTCAACTCCGATTCTTGCACCGTTTGTTCCTACTTGTCACGAATTCCATCGACATCATTCTTTTTCCTTCAAATATCGGTTTGAACCTGAAAATACTCAAAATACACCCGTGATCCTGTAAAAGTTATTTATGAAATAATTAATCAAATTCCACAAATAATCCACTTCAATCACTAACAAAATATATACTTTCAAGCTCTTATCACAACGCCTCACCAGGTTTTTGCTAGTCCCTAGCAAACTAAGCGATAAAATAAGTCTCTAAGCTTGAAAATAAAACAACCAATTAAAACCTATATCTACTATCCTATAGTTACAATGCTCCAAAGTGGTAAGGTAATTCACAAGGAAATTAATTCTGAATCTAATAAGTCTTTAATTGATCATGCAGGGGAAGATAAAGTGAAGAGAAGCAATCACGTGTGTCCATTCAGAATAAGGAGATCAGCCCCATCGTTGCTCCACCAAAGCCTTATGTCCCACCTATTCCTTTTCCAAGCCGATTGAAGAAAAGTAAATGGAATAAGTCATTCTCTGAAATTTATGATATTTTATATGAAGTTAATGTGAATTTACCCTTG